TAATTCCTATATCAGAAGTCTGTTTCCTTTATATTGTGACAAACAAAATGAGAGAGTTGAGAATCCTCTATCACCCGCTGCTGCAGTGGGTAGCAGTCAATGAGTGAAAATCTGATAAAAAATCCTTTATTTTAGCATTTTCCTCCACCATAACTGAGTAATCATTTTCTGTAACGTTGAACATTTAGCATAGTGGCTGATTAAATAGTTTTCAATGCAAACCGCGCAAGGAGGGTATAACAAGAATTTGAGTCATATCAAAATATCCATTAGGACAAAATATGTGCTCTAAAGTAAAGATAGAGGCCGTTACAGTGAAAAGTAGCTTGTAAAAACGGTGAGTCATCGGCTTTTTGCTACCAACTACCACCTTTTTAACGGAATAATGGTTATTGTATAATATGTGATCGTATGATATTAGTTGCACTCATTGCTCGTTTATTACAGATACATTCTAACTATATTTGTAATTATTAATATAGCATCTGTTCACATGACTGTTGCCGATTTATGTCAAACACAAACATCACCTGTTTTTATAAACATCATGTAAAAAGCTACATACATTAATTAACATCGACAACAGTTCGTAACACAGTATTTTTTCCTTTTCTTTTTCTCTTCAACGATAAGGTTTCATATGACATATTACGCACAGAACGACGAACACTTTTTATGCTTTTTAGATACATGAATAAAACTAGCTTTTCTTAAAATTTCTTTCTGTTTCTTATCTTTATTATGTATTTACATTCTTTCTCTGCTATTTTCCTTAGTATTTTTTTCATTTTTATTGGCTAGACAGGACGATAATAATGGGGCTTTACTCTCTTTTGACCTGTCTTAGTTATAACTATTTGTTTCATCAATAAATAAATAAAGTTTAAAAAAAAAAATTTTTCTTCAATTCGATTACATCAATCCCTCGCTCATATGTTCGTAACGTGACGAATGCTATTTTTCTACTCACTCTCACTACCCACTACCCTCTCCCCCACTACACTACTCAGCAGCTTTTCTACGAAATCAACTTTCGTTTTACTACTGTTCCCGTCAGAAATACAGATCTCTTTAATTCTAGAAGCCACGTGCTAGCAAAAACGTTAGAACCGTAAATACCCAAAACACCATAAATAACATAAAAAGCCTAAAAACCTAAAATACCACAAATACTTGAATTTTTATTATTCTGTCGCTGCAACAATTTCAATTTTCTCCTCAACTATGAAGTTGCAACTAATGCAATATTTCCACCCTATGTAGCACATAGCATTTTTTCCCTTTTCCTTTTTTTTTTCTTCAATAATAAAGTTTCATATGACGTGTAATGCAGAGAACGATGAGAATTTTTTGTCGTTTACGTTTATACGCATTACTCATGATGTCGAAAATGTTGATAATACATTCGCTTTGATTTACAACAATATTGGTGGATGTTCACTCATAATTCGATCTCTAATTCTTTACATAAAGATTAGGTTAAAACTTTGTGACCATTTTCATAGTGCTTAACGATTTTGCGTCGCCATTGTGTCGTGGATGTTCTAACAATATGTCATTTATAAAACCTGATTCACTCAATATATTTTTTGATAATTTTCTTATTTTGTTTGTTTAGTCTTGATCTTATACTTTAAAAAAAAAGAAGTCTGTTTTATGTGTTAGACAATACCAAATGGATTCTTTTAATGGCATCATTTGAAAGAAATCTATTTTCATCTTGTACCTTTTATGATATTTCACCGTATTATTTTAAAGCAATTTGTAGCTGACGAATCAAACTTTTAGAACATCGAATTAAAATGAAAATAAAATCAACCTTTGTTGAGAGCTAAGCGCCCTCTCATTTGATTCGGAATTTGATGCTCTTTTAGATGGCTATATTGGAAATATTTTTAGCAAAATCGTCCAGGACTTAGAACGGAGCAGTTTTCTACAAACGTTTTGCTGAAATTTTGATATTTACTGCATTTGATAGAGAACTTACAGGACTATTCAGATTTGGCCGAGCTGCTCGGCTTAATGGAAAAATGGCAAAACTACAGTGGCGCTATAATTTTTGCCAGTACTGCACTAAAGAAATTATAAAGATTTTTTCCTTTGTTGTTGTGTTGAAAAGGGTACACTAATGCACCGACACATTTAGCAGTTTAAAAAAAGATTACGAAAAAAGTATCAAAATAAAGAAAGTCAACAACGGTATAACTTAGTACAAAATATAGTAAAATATTTACGTATAATTAGGAATTCTAGAAAAGTTATTTTCTTTCAAAATGAATTGAATTTCGATCAGAAAGTTTCTCAAAAAACGCATGGTTTCTTTAAGAAAACTTGCTATGACTAGTTACCAAAGTTGAAAATTTTCGTTACATTTTACGTAATTCGTTTAGATGATTTTCTAAGGAAATTTTGCTCTTCTCACTTTGAAAACAAGTGTAAGCGCTGATTATAGCACCGTCTGGAAACTGGATTTTGTTTCCACAAAACTGATTAATTTTGCGATGTTATTAAAACTATTAAGGAAGGGAAATTACTTTTTCGGAATGGCACTTGCCACTCTCTGAGGGTGTCAAAAGGAGTCGTCGTATTTTAACTTGTGAGTATAAGTTTCGGTACGCTTTATGAATTTCTTTGCATTGAAATTCTAAGGATGTTTTCCCTAAGGCACAACTGGTTATTGATGTTGCGGAGGTCAGCGTGAATCAGACTTTACATTGTTATTGGATTCCATTGTTTATAAACATCAGCAGAACTAACAAAGTACTAACAATAATTAATTACTATTTCTTGGATGTTTGTTTAGATGAGCAGATTGGGCTTCTGCTTGTATCGTTAGTGCATGTTTAAATGATAGTAGGGGTTCCTGTCAGGATAATGTATGCCGATGTATACCATACATATTCTACAAAATCGAGCGAAATTCGATGTCTGAAACTCGAAGGATTCGGTCTGATCTTTTCCCACATTTTCCGGCGCGGATTCCGAGCAACGGATATCCGACATGGTTCCTGCCAGATTTTACCAAATTCCGACAACTTTCGGTATGTTCTAGTGTCGGATCCGGTAGGTTCAGTCAGGATCCTGAAATCAACGATCTGGGTAGTATTTTAATTCTATAGCCGCTTTGTCTAATAGTATGAAAATATACTTATTTTCTTTTCCTCCAAGCATATCTGGATGTGATGCGTATATTTTTTGAAAAAATTATTTGAATAAGCAATTGGAAATAAAGTTTTATAATACTGCTATGAAAAACATGTTAATAAAATTCTTCTGAATTTATTTTAAATACTCTAGCTTTCGATCACAACTTAGATCTACGTTGTGATCGAAAGCTAGAGTTTTTAAAATAAATTCAGAAGAATTTTATTAACATGTTTTTCATAGCAGTATTATACTTTATATTCAAAACTGTATGTTTTTTCTCGTTTCTTTTTCGTGTCTTCTGTGTTTTTACGAAAAAAATGTTTGTATTGTTTTTAATACAATAGAGCCATAATGATAATTCAGTTCTCACTAAATTGCTTAGCTACCATTTTCTAAAAGTATTCTTTGATTGTTTCTATGTCTCTGTATTTTGAATCAGTCGTTATGATTGTTGTAAATAGTTCTTTCTCCAGCAATAGTGAATGCAGAAGAAAATAGCAGGAGTACAATTAAATCTCGGATTGTTTCCGATAATACTAATAAATACCGTGTGCTCTAGGGCTTATCCATGATCCAAGCGTCAAAAAAATATGTAGTATTGCCTGATTCATCTAGATTACTAGATTTTTACTGGATTGCAACTATTGGATATGGACAAGGATTTTTTAGAAAACGAAAATAGGGCTAATAAGAGAACGGTTGCCTATTTATGATCAAATTTGGAGTGATTAGAGAACGGTCAGAATTATAAAACTAATATTAAAAATTATAAAAGCTTAACTTAAGAAAAAAATCTTTGAAAGAAAGAAAAAAAGAACTTTTGGATCTAAGAGCTTTCTCTGGGTAATGAAATACATCAACAGTTGAGAAATATTTGATTGTCCCTCTTTTGATTCAAGGAATAAAAGACTTCCAGTTTATGGTGTGGAAATTATTGAACGGTGGTCGAGAGATCTTCTTTAATTATTCTAGTTTGCTGAGCTTTTGAGCTCATCTCGAAATCCGAGAACTTCTAAAAAGCTTCTTGCAACAGAAGTTGTAGACAACTACTTGCTCTAAAGAAAATGCTTAGTAATACTTTCTACAGAATAGAGATAAAACAATAAAAACGTAACGTGGCATTTCTTTGGAGAGGGTTAATTTGATAGATAACATCTGGTAATGAGACAACTAAGATATAATTTGAAAGGAAAGATATACAATCAATTTTTCTCTACTCGATTTAGCCAAAAATGAATTCAAAAGAATGTTTTAAATTGGTGTAAGACCGTTTCGAGAAAGAGCTCCGAAAGAAATCACACAAAATTTAGTAGAACTGTTTTAGAAAGTTTATTTATAACTATTTACAAATATTATAACGACTGATTCATAATACAGAGACACAGAAACAATCAAAGAATATTTTTAGAAAAATGGTAGCTAAGCACTTTAGTGAGAACTGAATTGTCATTCTGCCTCTATTGTATTAAAAACACAAACATTTTTCGTAAAAACACAGAAGAAACGATACAGAAACAAGAAAAACTACACACAGTACATCCAGATATGCTTGGAGAAAAAGAAAATAAGTATATTTTCATACTCTTAGACAAAGCAGCTATAGAATTAAATTAATAACTGATTAATTTTACTTACTTTTTCTGAATCATCACTGAAGAGTAGTCAAACAGTTTTAATAATTGTTTTCTCCCACTCTCTCTGTTAAGCCGTATAAATAGTCGTTGTATCACAAAACAAGTTAAAGAAACAGAACAGCAAAGTGAGTATCAATTCACTCAGGTTATCGCTGGCAAAATCAATTGATACGTATCAAACCAACAAGGCACAAATTCTTTCGTTGTTGCTTGTTCAATATGAAATTAATTATTCTGATTGTTTTTATTTTTATTATTGCTGTTCAATCAGCAGAACTTCCAAGGTTAGTGTTCTACATAGAACTGGCATTTAAAATATTAGATGTTTGGAGATTGCTTCTCTATTTCACTTTAGTATATCAACTAAACGTGTGCAACGAAATTGTAGTTTTTCAGTGCGACAGCATAGATGTCCACCGTTGGCACGGTTAGCCAAAGTCGTAACAGCTGGAAGCGTACAATTGTTGAATGAATTAAGTGGTGTAAGAATTCGGTTGTGATCCATGATTATTAGACGAAAAGAAAAAGTTGATATTCGATATTTCTTTTTTCTCCATAGACTTTCTGGATAGGACTCATTTATATTGGCACACCACCACAAAAATTTTATGTTGATTTTGATACTGGATCATCAGATTTGTGGGTATCAGCGCCAAGTTGTGGTAAAGCTTGCGGTAAGGTCGAATTGATTCCATTTCGAATGCAGCATATTCTATAACTGAGCTAAGAAAGATGACCTGAAAGTATCAGCGACCAATGTATTCATATTTTATTCGATTGTAAACAGCTGTTTCAATTGTTTCTCTTGGAACATTAGGAAACTTTGTCGTGAACAACAAATGAAAATTGCCGTAAAAGTTGCAATTTCAGTTTATTTGATAGTCCCACGGGAATCTGTATGTTAAAAACGATGTCGAGTATAAATTAAATTATTCGTGGCTCTGAAACATTTTTATTAATCGAACGTTGCTCTTCAGGCAAACATCTTTCTACGTTTAGAAAATGTCCGAAAATAAACTCCTTCCAGTCTGATACATTTCCCACTTTTCCTATGTTTAAGCAGAGTTCAAACTTCCCATGAATCTTCTTTAGTACCAATACCAAATACAGGATTTGCATTTTATTTTATTTATTCAATTTATAAGAATAAATGTTCTATGCGACGGAAATCAGCACACAAAAGTTCAGCGATTGACGCATAAAACAAAAAAAATGCTGCAGGATTTGGATACAGCTTTCACTTAACAGTTCGTGCTATACTTAAATTAAAGTCATTGATTAAATATTCAGTTGTTCAGCAATTTTATGAACTCTAGTCTAAGCGACAATATCAGTTAATCTCTGATTGACCTGAATGTGAACTGAATTATCAAAACATTCTTGATGTTTCTTCCGCCTAAGGACCAATTTTTGATGACGAATAATGTTCTGTTGGAAAGAAAAATTGCAAAACATGCCTAAGATAAACTAAAACAAAACTATCAATCTTACTAATCAAGTAATGTAAAGTTTTTTTTTGTACAAAGAGAATACCTATTTGCTTTTTTCTGGTCTTTTTTACACACCGTTTTTCACATGAGTTTGGAATAGATTCTGGTAAACGATGAGTAACATGTAAGCGCTATTTTTGGTAAATTATAGCGTGTGTCAATACATTGTTTCAGGTGGAACTAATCACTATTATAGTAACAAATCAACGACATATAGACCTGTTGGTGTACCATTTGAGATCCACTATGGTGATGGTTCATATGCTAAAGGAAAATTTGATAATGACACATGCACAGTAAGACATTGTTGCTGTCTTTGAATCTATTTGTTATTGTACTATTGATTAAGGTGGGTGGTAAAGCTGTGAAAGGTCAATTATTTGCTGAGGCGACTTCAGGATCGGGTCTTGAAAACTATACTCGTGATGGGCTCCTTGGCTTAGCCTATCCACTTGAATCCTCGGGTGAAACTCCATTATTCTTTAATATGTATAAACAAGGCCTTATACCGCAACCAATATTTGGATTTTATTTTCATCCGTACGTATCCACTCAGTTTCTAGATTTTATTAAATTTCTCTGTAGAAGAAGATCATCCATAGAGACATCACATCAAGTATAATCTGACTTTTTTAAATAAATCAAATGATGGGAAAAACACTTAAGGATAGCCTCCATCTCTCTTCATTTTATTGATAAAAGTGGAAGCAAAGATTCTGGAGTGAAAATGAGTAGCTGATTTTCCTATCCTACATAAGTTTTGTAACTAAATGTTTCGTGCCGTCAGATAGACCATCACTTAAAGTATATCTAGCACTATTTGAACAGCTGAAAGGTCGATTATCATTTTTTCACCCGATGTCCACCTGGATGCACACTGTGCCCCACCACCCACTCAGAAACCTGTTTTCGTCCAAGAACATTCAACCTTGATAAAAATTTCAGACAATGTGTACCTTGAGGTAACTTAGTCATTGTAATAATTGCAGCCTCTTATCACTTGTTTTCCCAGAGTTGTTCTAAAATTAGTGATGAAAAAGTATGGTTTCGTACTTCCAAGATATAGCCGTCATTTTTTGAGCTATGAATTTGGGGTTGGTTTCAGACAATAGAGAAATGTTTTGTCTATGTTGTGCGGTTATTTGATTTTTCAATTTAGGTTTAGTTTACGAGAAATGTAAAAGGTTTCCGAAAAGTAAATAAAATCTCTCCAACTTTTCGGAAACGTTTTAAATTCCTCATAAACTAAAACTACACCAACGACGTCTCAAGATAGACAAAACATTTCTCTATTTTTTGAAACCAACCCGAAATTTCTAGCTGAAAATGACGAAGATATCTTGGAAGTACGAAACGCTGTAGTCGCAAAAAGATATTGTGACAAAAACGTGAAACAAGTTTACGAAATGAAAAAGGGAAAGAAATATAATAATAGTTCATCATAGGTTTTTGCGTATGCTGAATCCAATGAGCGTGTGCAGAGACATGTATTTTTGCATATGCAGTGATATTTCAATAAAAAACTAACTTTTTTTAGAATCGGAGGCTTTCAGAAAACCCATTAAAAAACCATCAACAGCCATTTTAAGACATAAAAAATAGTGCTTTAGAAAGAGGAGACTTTGAACTTTTCAACCATATATAAATCTCAAAATCAATTTTGATTTATTCTTGGACGACAATGTACTTTTCTAAGTGGTGGAGGATCCTTAACGCAAAAAATCAACCGTACTCATCCCCGTGTTGTTCAGCTGCGATTAACACACCTCTCCTCTACATATCCTATACACAAAATTAAACCCTACGCCTCCCGGAGTTCACCTTGCTTCAAAACAATTTCAGATGAGCGTTTTCTCACCATGATCAACAGTATTGATGAACTTTCGTTCTATAGGAATTTGCTGCCACGATAACTTTTTATATCGTAACTACTGGTAAGAATTGAGAAAACATTTTGTCACAAAGTATCCTTTTCTGCTTCCAAAGATGAAACCTTTGGTTAATTCTTGCTTAGATTTACACAAAATGGTAAATTAACGGTCGGTGGTGTCGACACAACGAAATACATAGCTCCAATAACGTATGCACCGGTGATCCTTAAAGGCTATTGGGAATTTTCCATGAATAGTGTTAGTGTTTCAAACACAAAAGTATGTTCATCTGGATGTTATGCCATAGCTGATACGGGTACAACACTTATAGTTGGTCCACCGTCGCAAGTCAATAAACTGAATGCATTAATAGGTGGCATATATATTGCCGCTTACGATACAGTAAGTACAAATACTGCATCACACTCGTGCATTACTATCCTTTTCGATGAACTGTGCAGTGCAGAGACCAAAACGGGTCGGGTCGGATCCGATTGTCTCGGATCGGGTTCGAGTCAATGTAGAAAATATTGATTCGGGTCAGGTCAAAGCAAAAAAAAATTCGGGTTTTATTCGGGTCTTGCCACTAGAACACAAATCAGGAGAGTTTCGTCGGTTACAATTCACTCTTCTATTTTCAAACATATGTCTTTTTTATCTAAAAGAGAAGTACAGTGTTTTTTCCTTTCTGCCATGACGCTGTGTAATGTACAGTCTCGTACTGTTAAAGCACAAAGATCAAAGTTTGTGATTCTTTACTATTTTGGAAAGAACTTTCAAAAACGTTTCCTTTGTCGGCTAAAGTAGCCGAACAAATTCTGGCTATTCCGGCTATATCAGCTAGTGTAGAACGCTCCGGTTCTGACTCAGTTCTCTGAGTATTTAGTTATCTCTTATCAGTTCGCTGAATATTTTCTGAAGATTACAGCCATTTCGGATGAGAACTGAGTGAGCTATGCTAATTTGAAGTTTACATGGTTACAGGGAAAAACCGAAGTTTTTGAAGTTTGAAGTCCCTTCGATCTGAAGATGAAAATAAATAATGCCACGATGATCAGGATAGCTGATTACCTCTGTCTCGAGATTTCCAAATCTCTCTGTCTTTGAGATTTCCAAATCTCCAGATTTGGATATGGTATGGTCTGTGGAGAACTTCTCTAGTCCCCAGATGACAAGAAATGGAAATCTGAGACTTGTCGAGAATTGTAGAACTGCATTCGTCCTGAGATGGCTAAAAGTCATCGAAAATCGATCATGGAGCTTTTAGGAAACCCGATGTCATGCTTAACCGATGAGAAATGAAGAAGTCGGATGATTCTCACTTTAAAGAGAATATTCTGGACTATCTTGTCGTGAAAAAAAATCAGTAGATTTGTCGCTCATCTTATTGGGCTACGAAGTGGTTTTCAAAGATCTACTAGAAAACGTACTTCAGAAAAGCTTTCCCAGAGTGTTTTCTCTTATGAAAAGACGCCTCCAAAACCGTTCTTCGAACACTAACTATTCGCTTTCCAAAGCTATCCAGAAAATGGCTAAATCCATTTCTTTAGTAAGCTATGGATAAAACCTGTTTTTAATATCTTAGGTTTTGAAAGTTTATGTAGCACATTCATCACAGGGAAAACAGCTGAATTTCGTCCGCTAAATTCAAAAATAAAGTCAAAATTCATCTGAAATCACTGAGATTCACGTAAATTCCCAAAAGTTCCCAAGTATAGTTTAGAACGTAACAACGATAATAATAATACAAATAAGTATTAACACCATTTCATCTCAAAAATGCTTTTCAAAACCAGTAATAGTCTAAAAACTGAATTATATATGTTAATGACCACCGCTTAGCGGATCGCAAAAAACGATTTTATGATCCAACCTAACTTTCTAACTGATGATGAAACAGACATCAGCATGACGACCAGGAGGGACTGAACTTATTTGAAGAGCTACGTCGACTTTGCATTTTGAAAGGTCACTCTGACATACTTGTTGGAAGACTTGGGTTGAAGGATACTATGGCTTCAAGCAGTCGGATTTCTGATATCAGTTGCGCCGCGTTCGACTGTATATTCTCACATGTTAAAGTAAAATAGAGAGTCTTTACTGTGCATATTTCAGTATCACTGATATTATGAGTAGAAACACTTCGAGTAAAATATCTTAGTACTCTACACTCACGATATTAGTGATGTTGAAATATACAAAGTAAAGACCCTTTATTGACTTGTTTGCGTCAGCTTCAGCTTAGATAAAACACTTTTGAAATTTTTTTACGAACTTTATTTTAGAGTACAACATCACGAGCCGTTTGTTTTGAGTATGATGTACGATCTGAAAAGAAAATATACAGCTTTCTTACTAGGGTTCTCTCTCGCATTAAGAATGAGCCGTATGCATTTCCTTGTAGGAAAGCGTCATCTCAGTACTATTGCCTTGGTTTCACTTCATCAGGATGCGCCTCTTTTACTTAAATGCCTCATTGTACTTAAATATTAGATTGATTCTGCTAATGGACTATTCGAAGTATTACACACTTCTCTTCTTCTGTTTGCATTGTGTTTAGTTTTTCGTTGATTGTTCGCGCAAGCTATCTTCGTTTCCAAATGTGACATTTACAATTAGTAATCAAAGATTTGTCATAACACCATTACAATATATACGGATTTTCGGAGATAATAATACATATCTCTGTACCACTGCATTTCAAGGTGCCGATGATAGAGATAGTTCCAAAAGACCAATTTGGATATTGGGGGATTATTTTCTTGTACGATTTTATTCGATTTATGATATTGGAAAAAATCGTGTAGGATTTGCTAAATCTGTATCATATAGCTTCTTACAAACAGTACCTAGTTCATTATTTAAAGGTTGATAATCGTAAAGTCGCTTTTTATCTAATGTCATTCCTCGTTGAAATTTAAAATAATAGAGGTTTTCCAGTCTACAACAAAACGAACCACAATTCTAGTTAGAAAGTTATACATAAAGTACTTGACCTCGCATGCACTTCATTCATCTAGGTTCGCTTCATTCCCTGTGCGACACTATTTCTCTATTTCCTTTTATTACTATCATGCCACAACAGTCGTATATGTCTTTGTAATGATATTCCCTCACTCTCGTATCCCTTATGCTCTTTGTTTATACATATCTGGATGTATCATTCTTTTGTTTTGTACTATAGATAGTTATTCAGTTACAATTTTAAACGTGGTGTGTTTTTCTCTCTTTCTTTTTTTGTACTTTTTGATAAAAAACAAAGCCAGAAAACTGACACATAGACATCGGAAATTCTAAGAGGGGATTAAAACTTCACATTGGCGTTCTCGATCAGATCCGGTTCCAGACCTACAACCAACCGGCGAAAGAACCAGTACTAAGAGTCATTGCACATTAAGGATATCATGTATTATGCTTATGAGAACAACATAATCACTTAATATGGTCTGAATTGCGAAAAATTATTGTTGGGCACTGACTACTGCCCGGTTCGGATACAAATAAATGTTTTCACACTTATGTAAGTCATATTTATTCTTTTTGCTATTTTTTAAAGAAAACACACGATATAATCAAAAACTTGTTTAGAAGTTCTTTTTCTTCTGTGCTCCGACATAAGAAAATAGTTAATAAGTATTTTAGGTAAAATCTGTGCTTCTTCCCTCACCATCACAATCACATCATTTGAGACAAAAATGTTTACTCTACAAACCGTTTGCATTGAAAACGTTTTGAATAGAAATCACATAAAGCATCAATGTTCAAATTCAATCTATCACTCTGTCATCGTTTATTCAGTATTGATGGAGACGCTATTATCTTCATTTTCATTCTCATGCTGAAACTTTAGACAAAAGAAAAGAGATATTTCCTCAAAACATACTTGAGATAAGCCAAAATTTTATTTGTTTTAATACAGCCTTTATATACAGTTATGTTCGAAAACCATATAATGAAAATTGTAGTACCTGTCCAACAAACTGGTTAGAACGAAGGCGTAAGAAATTTTAGTCTGCACTGACTAGAGAAGAACGGTTTAGAAAAAGAAGTAACACTTGCTGCCATCAAGAAAAAAAAAGAAATATATCTGCTTTTCAATGCCATCTTTTAACATTCGTTTTCCCGTACGTCTAATAGAACACCAATGAAAGAACATGATGATATGTCTTAAAAGTTCGGACAAACTGCATGAAAATGACTCAAAATCCGATCTCAAATTCTCGTCGAAACATTGAAAAAAAAATTATGGGTTGAGAGGAGGTTGAGAAGATACGTTTTTAAAGTTTATTACTTTAGACTGAAAAAGCCCCATTGTTCCGCTTTCGAAAACTTTTCCTTTCATTCATTCAGTGCTTAAAATTCTTTTCAAATAGGCAGTCCTCTATAACAAAAATTTCTCTAAAAAATGATGGATCTTCCAGCTCTTCTGCAGGTTTTCTGATCGTGTTGCACTCATGTTTTACTGGACGTCCTGAAAAAGTGATATTTGTAATACAAAACCCATGGTTGACAACACGATTTGGCCTAAGCTGAGGACATTACGACTTTCCTGAAATTTTATCTGATGAAGCTCGAGGTATTTGTAAAAGACGCCATCACCCATCAACATCCCCAAACTGCTCGAGACCATTCTGGATCGATATAGCGCGTCAGATAACCCTACACCAACACCCGGTTGAACCTAAGCCTGAGGTGTCCTGAACGAAATACTACCACTAACATCCACCGACAACCACCAACACCCAAATGGACGGGTGTTTTCACCTGCTGATCCTCTCCACAGTATTTAGGACGCTGAGTTACCTATAGAAACATACGTATATCACATATTTAGAGCTTACATCCTTCATCACGTACTTCGTCCGAGGAACATGACTTAAAGCGGTAAGTTAAAATTTTTTTATTTTGATATAAGACATCTATGTATACAAATTCAAAGCTCCTGATTATTTATATTATATGTGTGAATTATGAAATTGATTTATTCAGCGAAAAAAACAAGTTTTGGTAGGGACTCGATCAATCGAGAATAGTAGATCACAAATGTAAGCGATGTAAAAGTCTGTGTCGCCTCTTAATATTTTTGATATACACACAAAATCGCTAGTTCAAAATAATCTGCTACATCATGATGTTAACCTAGATCGAATTATTCACCAAACTCAAGGTTGAACGGGACACATACTGAACGCCTCGTCAGAACCGCTAACATTTGCGCCATGAAACGATATCTAGCAGTTCGTGGAATGCTTAAGTGGAATGCTTGACGAATCAGCTGCTCATAAATTAATAGTATGTAATGCGGATTTCATTGCTACAATAAAGGTTATCCAACCCATATTCCTCAGCCTGTGAGCTGAGAAGAAAGTGTAATACTTACAGAATATTTTAGCACATAGCACAGACTTTTACATCGCCTACATTTGTGATCTGCTAATAATAATAAGACTATCTGGTCTTTTATTTTATCCCGCCACAGGTCAAGTTCTGAACGATGGTCTTCTATTGCGGTCAAATGTTGTCGCTTGCTAGTAGTTGTAACCCTTACGTACTTGAAGTCCATCCCCTATTAGAAGTACGTTTTGACGAAAGTTTTTTGAAGTTACTCTCGGT